AATTTTGACCACTTGTTTGCTTTTGATGGACTCGTCGCGAGTGGTGGCCAACAATTGTTTGAAATACAAGAGATCGAAATACAATTGCAGAGCAATCACTTGTTTGATACTCTTTGGGTACTCGTGTCCGGACAGGCCGTCACACGCACTGCCGTAGAGTTGATTTAAATGTTGGCTTAATGTGGAGAGTGTGTCGATAACCACTACTCTGGGAACTGTATGTCCAGTCAAACGATTCACTTCATTAGACAATTGCGTGAAATTGTTGTGAAGAAATGATGACATCTGAAGCGGCACTTCGATCTTAGAGGTGACTGTTTTTCCTTCGTCTGACACTTCAGTTGTTTTAATGATATCCCAAACGAAAGAATTGCATATAAAAGTGTTTAAATCGGTTAATGAATGGCTCGTTGTATTTGAAAACAATTGTTTCATTTTCAGATCAAACATTGCTTTATATGACTTATAAGAATAGGAAAGCAATATATCTTTCATTTTAGACCACGAATACTGTTTGACGGGAGAAGAGGTCTCAAAACATTGTTTCAAATGAGGGCACGACTGAGTTATTTGACGAAAAAACTGTGCACTAAATAGTATTATTTCATTATTGGTATCGTTATTGAACTCGAAGAGACCCTTTATATCTTCTATCAGCGAATGGCAGGCATTTACTAAATGTGTTTCAATGGTCTCCAAGTCATGACTTTGTATTAATTTAAAGTTAAAATCTCTAATAATTTTAATATCATTTAAAAGATATTGAAGCGAATGATCGAAATCAGAACAAAAGAGATCAATGGTTTGATTTTGTGCCAAAGCTTTCTTTGATAGACTGGAAGAACTGCTTTCCGATTCATTCCATATAAAGTTAATTACTTCCAAGTCTTCGTATTTCAGACATTTATTCACAACAATGTCTTCAAATTTATTTCTAAACATTTTCATAGTTTTGTCAATATTTCCAGTGATAATGCCATTAATTCTGTGAATCACATGACTTATAATAAAGTGATCCCAAATTGGCAAATAAACGCCCATAAGTTCTTCACAATAGACCTCCCATTCATCAATCTTTTGGCTTCGTTTCAAATAATCGTTGATTTCATTCAATACAACACAAATTGTATTCACGGAATCAATCGATTCAAAGAGTTTAGCCAAAAGCGGTTCCACAAAAGTCTTCATATTTGAAACCCATTGTTTAGTTTGGTTTGTGATCATCTGATTGTCAATCACTTCGAGCGCTGCTTTTGGTGTTATTCTAAAATCAATTAAACCGGACTTTACTTCACTCGTCAAAGTCCTTGCTTTCAAAAAACTGGATTCAAAACTAATTTTAGTCATTCTCTCGTATCTTTGATGCAATAAAGTCTTTGATTTGATGCCATTGTTCGCGAAGAATACCGAATGAATGCATTTAATTGTATTAAATAATAAATTAATAAAATTGCGTAAAATGTCTTTGAAATCGCAATTTTGGTCAAAACAGTCTCTAATACCAGACTTTCGTTTCTCCAGAACTGTATCGAAGAGATTATTTGGATTCAAGTTTTGCAACACAAGTAAACAGCAAAAAATATCAGCATTTGTCGACTCATCCAATGTATCCATTAATGAACTCTTTTGGTCGAAATGCCAGCACTTCTTCACAATCACTTCATTGAATCGATTGATAGCTGTTTTGTACTGTTTTAATAGATTCGGCGTTTCATTCGCCGGAACTAATTGTTCAAAGAGTTGACACAAATGTTGTCCATAAAAGTAATCATAAGTGGAGCGCAACAGATCCTCCTTCTCAAGAGACGTCCAAATCTGTCATATTTTTAACACAAAAAAATAATTAAATGACAATTCTTTGATTGTTTTCAATAGTAATCAACAATAAAAAGCATACATTTAATGGCATTTCAATCACAAGTTTCAAAATAACTCCACATTTGTATCTCTTGACTAAATCAACACTTCTTCGGGAGTGCTGTTCATCAAAACCATTGGTCTTATCAAATGAGCTCTGTTTCAAAGACAACATATGATTTGATTGACTGCTGGCCAGCGATTGCAAAGAGTTGAGGACATTATCAACGCTTTGGTTCATCTGTTTGATGGTATCGACGGCTTCGATGAGATCGCCATATCGTTCACTACAAGACAATACCAATCAATAGGCGAAGACAACAAACATATAGATCTCATACCCGACTAATTGTTTGAGTTCTTGTTTCTTGCGGTCGATGTCTGTCTTGAGTTTGTTTTGGATGTCTATTATCTCAGTTATGGTAAACTTCTCGAGCAAATAGTCCACATTTGTTTGACTCGTTTCAGACATTGTCTCTCGTGTTGTCTTCAGCTAACTATCAATTCATTGTCGACAACCCGTAAACCAATTGATCACTAAATCAAATACACTTCACTTCAAGCCTAGTGTTGACAACTCATTGCATCTCTTATTACACAACCCTTACATACGTTACCATTGGTTAGCATAATATATGAATCCCTCATACATTTTACTGACCACTTATCACTGTTCAGAAATTTATTATTTTTTATTAAAAACCATATTATAACTATAATAAATTTTAATTATTTCATTGTCTAGTATTAAACAAATCATGTTTTTTTAAAATAATTAAAATACTCAAATAATTAACAATTCAATTATAACCCCCGCCCCCTATAATCGTAACGTTATTAGAGGTTAACAAATCAGTGAAAATAATGTTTATTAGACTTTTTTAAAACTTTTTAA